GCAGAGCACAGCAGCGGCGCCTGCCCCATCCCCCCCACCCAACCCTGTTGGCAGCTCCACAGACTTCAAGGCCCCTCCTTCCAGCAGACTTTCTCCATCATCCCCACCTTGGGAAGCGAAGGAAGCGCCCTTCAGAGAGGCCCTCATGGCAGGAAGCTGAGGATGGCCTCCGGGGACAGCTCCCGAGGACCCAGGTCCTCCCTCTGACAGGGCATGGTGCCTGGAAGCAGAACCTGCCCCAGGCGAGCCTCAGATGAGACCCTGGCCCTGGCTGACACCACATCCTCAAGAGACCCCGGGTCTGAGGCCCCAGTCACCTGAAATGGGTGCTGATAAGCCTGTGTAGATGAAAACCCATGCACGTGCACTCACCTGTGACCCAGCCCTGGACAGATCCAGGGTGCCCGTGAGAGCCACTGCTCCCTTCCACAGCTTAGGACTTGCTGCAGAAGGCAGGAAGGACTGGCTGCAGAGCTAAGGCCACCCCTGGAGGCCCAGCCTGGGACACGCCCCACCCCAGCCGCTTCCCCTGTCTCTTCCCTCCTCTCCCTCTTCCTCTTTTAACTCCCCTCCTCCATTCTCTCCTCTCTCTCCTCTCCCCTCCTCCTTTCCCCTCCCTCCCTGCTGGGGAGGCCTCAGCCTCTGGCTGGTAAGCACAGCAGGAGCCCCCAGCCGTTGCCATGGACGTGGGCCCAACACAAACACAGGATGCTAGGCTCCCTTGCCAGCCCTGGACCCCCCACCTCCAGTCTGGCCCTGTGCAGGGTTGGGTGGGCAGATGAGGTCATTGCCATGGGAGCCCCCTCTGCAGGGCTGCAGGGGGAGTGTTTATTTGGTCTTGTTTCCCTGGCAATCTCCTGGACCCCTGCTCCACTCCGTCCACCATCCACAGGGGCATTCCAGCAAAGCCGCACAGCCAGGCCCCGCTGACCCTGGTGCCTACACCAGCCCCTCCACCTGGCCTGGCCAGCCCCACAGCAGACCCCTCCCCAGAATCCCAGGCTATCCGACAGGGGCTGCCTCCTAAGGGGTGGATGGGGAAACTAAGGCCCTGGAGCCCGGCAGAGGCAGGACCAGGCAAGGCCAGGACTCTGGTCCCCAGCCTAGGCCCTCTGCAGCCCCCAGAAGTGTCCTGTCCTTTCCCGATCAGCCCCCTGGGCCTGGCTGACACAAGGCCACCTCCAGGGAGGTGACAGCTCTGCCCAGCATCTGCTCCTCCTGGGCCAGCCAGCTGCTGTATGCATTGGGCAGTGGGCGGGGAGGGGCTTCCGAGGAGCACAGAGGCTGCAGAGAGAGCAAGCCCAGTGGGACTTAGAGGAGCAGGGGCTCTAGTGCATGTCAGGGGCACTAAGAAGATAGGCAGCATGGTCGGGGGACGAGATGCAGGACAACTCGAGGCCACCCCCTTGTGAACAGCCACCCCTGGCCCCAGCATGAGGCCCACCCACGTGAACAGGCCCCAGGAACAGAGTGTGCATGCAGAGAAGGTGAACCCCTGCGACCCCAGGCCCCAGTGCAGGGGCTGTGGCCTGTGTAGCCAGATGGGGCAGGGAGTGAGTTTGAGCCTACCACACCTCCAGACTCCTGCATCCCGGGGCCTCCTGGGCCACCTCCTTCTAGCCTGACGGCAGCTGCCTCATGAGCTGGCCCCAGAGCACCTGCATGTGCAGCCAGACCCCATGGAGGCAGTGAGGACATCATCCTGGGGTCCCTAACAGTTCCCAAGGTCCACGACACAGGAAGGGCAACACAGGACCCCACCACGGCCTGTCTGGGCTCTGGGGCACCAGATTCACTCTTTGCACCCTCCCCTTCTCCTCCTTGTCCCTCCTCTTCCCTCCTCTCCTTCGCCTCCTCCCCTACTCCTCCCATCCTTCCCCCTCCTCCTCTCCACCTTCTCCCTCCGTCTCTGAAGTCAGTCTGGAAGGCCAGGCAGGATCCCACCCAAAGCTTCCTGCTGTACACTCCAGGTCCTTCTAAGACATTACCTAACCGCGCCTTCTTACCTAATCCCCTAGCCATCCCCTGCTGTGCCTGGAGGGGAGCCAGATGCCTGCCACCGCCCCAGCCGCCTGGGCCCAGCCAGCCTGGGCTCAAGCCTGGGCTTGCCTCTGGCCACCTGTGTGTCCTGGACTTGTCTCCCACCTGCGAATGGCACCTGAGACCGCTCAGCTAAAGTAGCTCCATGCCCTGTGGGCCCTGCTTTCCTCACCCCCGCAAGCCAAGATGGGGATGCCCTGTCGTCCAGAAACTGCCCAGGAGCATCTGACCTGTGCTCGAGCAGGTGAGGAAGCACCTTGCGGATTCCAAGGTGTCTCCACTCACCTGGTGGATGTCATTGGATAGGGTGGGCCCAGGGCCAGTGAGAGCTTGTCAGCTGGAGGAGACCAGAGTGGGGATAGGGGCCAGGCCTCAATCACCCAGGAAAGGCGAGGTAGGAGACTAGAAAGGAGATGAGCTATGGCTCAGCACACACCTACAGCACTCAAGCACATGTGTGCATGCAGAGACACGCATGACACAGACACATGGACACGTGCACGCATGTGCACCTACCCACATGGACACAAACACACGTGCACATGCATGCACATGCACCTGTGTGCAGAGACACACATGACACAGACTCATGGACACATGTATGCACACATATGAATGTAGCTGCATGAATCCAGCCACCTATATGCACATATACATGCACTCACCCATGTAGACAGATACACAGACCCAGCCATACATACATACATGAAGAGACACACACAGACACAGATGCATAGGCCTAGCCATATGCATGGATGCATGCAGACACAAAAGATACACACATATGTATGCACATGCATGCACAGACACCAGTGCATAGAACCAGCCACACACATACATGCAGACACACTCGAGACACACATGCACACCCGGACACAAATGCATGGACTTAGCCACATATATGCATGTACACATGTGGACACAGGCACAGACCCAGCCACATGTATGCATGGAGACACATGCACAACACACACACACACACATGCTCACATGTAGACAACACAAACCCAGCCACACAAACATGCATGCTTGCATATAAATGCACACAGACATGTGGACACATACAACACACATGTACACACACACAATACCTACAGACACAGATGCACTGACAAGCAGACCCACACGAATCCAACCTCACACACACACATGTGCAGATGCAGACCAGACACACAGAGCATCCACCATACACAGGGGACCCCAGCCCAAACAACTGGACCCAGGACAAAGCGGGAGGGTTGGCTGTGCACAGTGGCCTGTCCAGCCAGTCCACCCACTAGCGACTTCTCTCCTCAGCAGCCTGGCCCCCGCCTGCCCGCCGCCTGCACCCGGATTGAATTCAGCTATGGTTTCACTGCTGTCACTCAGAAGAATGGTCTCATTCAGGCCACCTGCTCCCTGGCTGGACAGCTCACATCCCTCTCCTGCCTGGTCTCAGAGGCCCAAGCCCCCGACCACCCTGCCTTCCAGAGGCCTGTCCCTCCAGGCAGAGCAATCCAGCGTGGCTTCACCCGGCAGTGGCCAGAGGCTGAGGGTCAGGGACCGGCACCAGGAAGTCCCCACTGGCCTCTTAGTAAGAGCTGTGGCCATGGGTCTGGAAAGGAAGCCTGGACTGTTCCCATCAGGGAGATAATCCCACATTCCTCAGTGGGCAGCCCCTCCCTCCCCGTTGCTGTGGTGGGCGTGGACCTGGATGTCTGGGAGGGCACAGACCAGACACAAGGTGGCAGGAGAGGGACAGGCAGGGTCTGGAGGGGCCAGTGAGGGGTTTCCAGCAGGGCATGTTGCAGCGGTGGGGGACCCACGACATGGGCTCAGAAGGGTGATGGAGATGAGGGGAAAGTGAGGACTGTGGGCTGGGAACTGGCTCTGAGTTAGGGAGATGAGGGGCTGTGCCCAGAAGACCCCCAGATGCAGGGCTAGGGGATGATGAGGCTCTGCTGGGGACCCAGCACTACGAGAGTGAGAGGCCTCCTTCAGCTAGAGGCTGTAGGCAGGAGTAGGATGGAGCTAGGCGTCTGAGAAGACAGGGTTGGACAGGGCTTCCTATGGCACCCCACGCTCTCCAGCCTGGACACGGGAAGCACAGAGACCAGAGACAGCTGGGGCCATACATGCAGCCTGGAGATGCCTGCCCAACAAAGGTGCCCAATGTGACTGGGAGACAGGGCTTCTCCCCCGGGGTTCCTTTTTAGGTCCTCCTCCTCCCAACGGTCCTCCTCTTCCCCAGATCCTCCTCCCCAAGGCCCTCCTTCTCCCCAGGGTCCTCCTCCTCCTTCCCAGGGCCTTCCTCCTCCCCAGGTCCTCCACTTCCTCAGCGCGTCCTTCTCAGGTCCTCCTTCTTCCCAGAGTTCTCCTCCTCCCCAAGGCCCTTCTCTTCCCCAGGGTTTCCCTCCCCAGGGCCCTCATCTTTCCCAGGGTCCTCTTCCTCCCCAAGTCCTCTTCTGCAGGGCCCTCCTCTTCCTCAGGGTCCTCTTCCTCCCCAGGGCCCTCCTCTTCCACAGGGTCCTCTTCCTCCCCAGGGCCCTCCTCTTCCACAGGGTCCTCCTCCTCCCCAAGTCCTCTTCCCCAGGGCCCTTCTCCTCCCCAGGTCCTCCTCTTCTCCAGGCCATCCTCCCCAGGGTCCTCCTCCTTCTCAGGGTGCTCCTTCTTCCAAGGGCCCTCCTCCCCAGAGTCCTCCTCCTCCCCAGGGTCCTCCTCCTCCCCAGGTCTTCCTCCTCCCCAGGGTCCTCCTCTGTACATACCCCTTCTCCCCAAAACCTCCCCCTTCCTCCTCCTCCCTGGTCCCGCCTCCCAATTTCTCCTCCTTCCCAGGCACACCTCCCCGAGTCCACCTCCTCTCCAACCCTCTTTCTTGTCCTCCTCCTCCCAGAGGCCAACTCCTAGGCCTCCTCCTAAGGCCCTCCTCCTCGTCCCAGGCCTACAGAAGCCCCTGTGAAGGCAGCAGACTGAGATGAGGCTATAATTTAAAATACATTTATTTAGTGTTTCCATTTGTTTCTGGTTCTGTGACACAAAGCTGTTAAATAAATACATTCTCCACAGTCCCTCTGGGACAGGCCACACAGATGAGGTAGAGAAATCATTGCACGCACGGAGACTCAGAGCACAGACAGGGCCCCTCCCACCCACCCACGCCTGGCCAAAAGCCACCTGGGGGTCCAGGTCCCTTGTAGTGGGGCCCGGTGCGGAGAAGGTGGCTGGGATCCCTTGGCCAAGGAGCGGGCTGAACCCCTCCCAACAGCCCTTTCTCCTCTACTGCCCCTCGGAAGAGAAGCGCATGAAACAGGAGGCTCCGGCTGAGCGGCCTCTTCATCCAGCAAGACATTCGAATATATATTTGTCTAGAAATCAACCAGCTAGCAGACATTTTTGATCTGCCTTGTTTAAAAAAAATACTTTTCTGAATATTTATGACATAGAGCTAAATGTGTTATTTGATTAAACATAAAAACCTTCCTCTGACTTGATGCCCTTCGTAGACCCAATAGTGACTGAGTGACAGTCTTGTCATGTCATGAGGGTGTGGCCAGCTATGCTGCTCAGGGTCCGGTGGATGTGGACACTGCAGAGGGCAGGGGCTACCACCCCTATCCCTTCTAGCCAGGCCTCCACGAGACCACGGACAAACCCAGCGTCTTGCACCCACACTGTGGTCTGGGGATGCAGCTGCAGGCACGTGTTGGGGTGCTCTCTGAACCACAGGAGAATAAACGTTCTTATGTACTATAACACAGGGATGGCAGAGACCCACAGCAACATAAATAGGTTTTATTTTAAAAACACAGACCCCCCAGCTTTCTGGAGACCCATGGGACTCTGAGACACCCATTCACTCAGTAGTTCCTGTGTCCATACCAGCTACCCACCCAGAACCCAGCCACAACCATCAGGACACCCACAAGATGGAGCCCAGGGCGAGAGGCTCTGGGAACCTAAGGCACCACCATGCCACTGACAGCACAGCACGGCCAAGGTGACCACACCAGTGCGCATGCGCGCGCGCGCACACACACACACACACACACACACACACACACAAACACTGACCACGCCAGCATGCATTTACACAACACACGCTTACGCACATTGACCAGGCCAGCACACACGCACTCACAACACACACACACGGATGCACACTGACCATGCCAGCACACACACTCTCACAACACACACACACTATACCCTCAAACCAAGCCAGGTCAGTGCAGGTCACCCTGTCCCCAGCACACACAACAGCAGGGCCATAACGCATGACATTCCATGGCCAGATGCGAGCCCAAGACTGCCTCTACTGGCATCTGTCCCAATCTGTCCCCCAGTGACACAGAGCAAGCAGCTTCCTCATGACATGACATGAACCAATCAAAGGGCTGCCCTGCCCCCTCACCATACCCACCCCTCCCTACCACCCCCAGCCTGAGAATCTGCACCCAGCCGCCTGGAGGCTGAGCCGTCTGCCCACAGGGTGCAGGGCAGGGGCCGCCGGCTGGCCTACCATGTGGCAGTGGCTGGCTGGCATGGAGCAGGGGGAGCTGGCTTCCAGAAGCCCCAAGGGCTGTGGCCAGACGCAGGTCACTGTATTTCCTTAACTACACACATCTATCTCCATTTAGTGGTTTCAAACTACTAAGCAGATCAGAGGCAGGGTTAGGAGGAAACATGTCAGAGACGGAAGGCGGGGCCCTCCCAGATTGGGGCTTGGTGGAGAGCGGGGAGCTGCAGCTGGGGAGATGGCAGGGATGGAGAAAATAATAATTATTATATTAGTTAAATAATCATAATAATTTAAAAGTCACTGATATTTACTCCAAAGAGAAGTGCTCAACGTCAGAGGTCGGCAGTGTCCTCCGAGCCTGGGCACCTGCACGGCGGGGCCCTGGGAGTGCAGAACAGGCTGCGTCCTCTTCTAGTGGTTTGAGTCTCTGAAGACAGTGCTGGTGTTGGGGCAGCCTGGGCCAGGCTGGTCCCCAACGGGTGGCCCACATGGAGGCCACACGGTCACCAAGGTGCATCTGCTACCCATGCCTCAGAGGAGGTGGGGAGGGAAAGCCAATGGACTGGCATGGGGAGCCACTTCCCAGGGACTGGCGTGTTAGGGATGGGAGAAAGCTCAGAAAGCATTGGTGCAATGCTCTCGGGTCAGAGGGAGGAAGCTGAGGCCCAGGGCACAAGCAAAGAGGTTGCATACGCCAGACCAGAACCAACTCCTGCCTCTGGGTCCTGGAGAGGGGGAGACACAGGGCTTGGACAGTCAACCCAGAAGACCCCTGGCACCCTGTTCCAGCTGTATGCCCCAATGTGTTAGAAAAGCCCCTCAGTGCTTGCAAGTGTAGACTCCTCACACTGCGTGCATGGCCCTCACCCTGCACAGCAGGGTTGGCCAGGCCCGGGGACTCATCCCTTGCAGGTGTAGACCTTCTCACACCGTGTGCAATGCCTGCACTCTGAGCAGCGGGGCTGACTGGGCCCAGAGTCTCAGCCCTTGCAGGTGTATACTCCTCATACCATGTGAAATGCCTGCGCCATGTGCAGCAGGCCTGGCTGGGCCCAGGGATGCAGCCTTTGCAGGTGTAGGCCCATTCATGCTCTGTGCAATGCCTGCACCCCATGCAGCTGGGGCTGAGCCCAGGGACTCAGCCTATGCAGGTGTAGACCCATTCACAGTGTGTGCAATGCCTGTACCCCACGCAGCTGGGCTGCTCAAGCCCAGGGACTCAGCCTGTGCAGGTGTAGACCCTTCACACCGTGTGCAATGCCTGCACCCTGTGCAGCAGGGCTGGCAGGGCCTGGGAACTCAGCCCTTGCAGGTGTAGACCTCCTCACGCTGTGTGCACTGCCTGCACTCCACATAGCAGCACCAACGCACCTGGCACTGGCAGGGCCTCGTCACCACCCGGCTCTGTGTGTTATGGCCGCGGCCGCAGCAGATGCTCTCGCAGTTCTTCTCGCGGTGGCACCTACGGCCAGCGGTGCCCGGGGAGAAGCGGCCGGCCAGGCAGAAGCTAGGCGAGTCGTCCAGGTGCACCAGCTCTGGAGTGCGGGGTAGCGGGTCACTGCCGCCCGCCCCCGAGGCACGGCCCCGTGGCGGGGAAATGGCGCCTGCCTCGCCTGCCGCTTCGTTGGTGGTGCTGCCCACCTTGAGTGCTGTCTCGTACTTGTGCTTCAGGTGCTTGCCCACCTCATGGAAGGGCGCCAGCTGCCGCCAGCAGGTCCGCACCGTGCATGAGCCTGACACGCCGTGACACTTGCAGGTGGTCTCCACCCCAGCCTTGATCACCTGGCAGGAGGGCATGGGAGGGAGGGCAGTGTGAGGGCTGTGCAGGTGGGTCCAGTGAGCAGACCCTGCCCTTGATCCCCAGAGGGACCCCGCACCCCCACCCCACCTGGGCCTAGGCCCAGGCTCAGGCCCAGCCAGCAGGCATTGCCACTGCACATCTCACATTCAGCTCACTCTCCTGGCTCGTGGGGCTGTCCTACCTCCTCCGGGCTGCTGACTCCAGGGCTGGCACCTCAGCCCCCAGGGTGGCCACCCTTGCACCTCCACAAGGGGAGGCTCCTGCCTGATGTCCACCCTGTGTCGGGGGCTGCCCTCAGCAGGGGCTGGACCTTCTGCCCCCATGCCCATAATCCCAGTCCTGCCAGGACTTCATATCTGCTCTCAGCACACAGCTCGCTGGACAGGTGAGGACAAGCGTGACCTCATCTAGTGGTGTATGTCTGAGCTGACCGCGACCTCCTTACCCCTAGTATCGGGAAGCAGGTGCTACTGCACATGCAGATGCGACCCCCATCCCACCATTGCTGAGGGTCAGCATGCTGAGAGGCCAGTGAAGGCACCGCAGGAGCAGGGAGGCCCACACTGCGGGGGAGAGGGGCTCCTGGGGAAGAGAGAGCTCCTTTTACTGTGAGAGAGAGTCCAGGCTGGCCCCAGAGCGGGATGCACCCCTCACCCACAGCAGGGAGGGCCAGGCACCCACAATCTATACTGGGAGCTGCCACAGAAGCCTGGCTGGGCCTGTCCCCTCCCAGGACTTAGGGCCCCACCTGCAAAGACAGGCCTGGTGGGGAGGTCCCTTCCCAGGTGGGACCTGAGCCAGGTGGCTCTGCTCCCACGCCAGCAGCCCCCAGGAGGGCCGGCTCAAAGAGGATTAAGAAATCCAGCCACCTCTGGCCCGGCAACCATAGTCACATTTAATGATGTTTTGCAGAGAAACCCGGACCAATTTAATTAAAATGTTGGTGACCCAGGCTCTGTGGAGCTAATGGAGCACCCTTCATGTTCCGACTTCTCATTAATCTCTTACAAAGCGGTGAAGAGGGAAAGGGGGGGTCATACACAAAGGAAAAGAAAGGGCCTTGCTTGGGGCTTGAATCTGCCTTCAAAGGCTCTCCCCTGCCCAAGAAGGTGGAAGGAGGCACAAGAGGCCCAAACAGGGGAGGCTGATCCTTCAGTAAGTGGGTGATTGGGTACTCTGACTTCTCAATCAAGTGGGGCTCAGAGCAGGGCTGGCTCTCATTACCTCACCCCTCCCCAGGCTGGGGCTCTATATTCCCAGCCTGCCTGGCAAATGTGAAGATGAGGGCAGGAGGCAGAAATGTCCCTCAGCTTCCAACAGAGGTGTCAACCCTGCCCATCCCTGTTCAGGAACTGCAGAGATGCTGGGGGCTCTGTGCAGAGTGGGGTTACAGGTCCAGCCCGGACTCCCCCAGACATGTAGACCTGGGCACTGACAGGCTGCAGGTGGCATGAAGGATGACCAGAGAGCTGGGGTCACCCCGGGCCAGCTATCCCAACAGCCAGTGGCCCCTGGAAGGGCTCAGGAGAGAGCCCTTTTACCTCGAAGTCTTTAGGTCAGGATTCTGTCTCTCAGAATAGAGGCCTGGCCACAGAGAGGGCTGGTGGGGCAGAATGAGACTCCCCTGACTCAGGTGAGTGGGTTCCATACCCCTAACCCTTCCCTGGGACCCCCTGCCCACCATGCCTCCCACCTTGGTCTGTGGGGGTCACGTTTTCCTCCCACCGGTTTTGCTGACAAGCCTGCCAGCTGGCTGACAGGTGTGGCCCACAGTGCCATGATCCTGGTTAGACCGCCTAACCAAGGAGACCCTCCTGGTGGCCCCACAGGGACCGTGGGGGCCCCTCTGCAGGCAAACATGGCTAGTGCCCCGTTTGGTGGGTAGAGAGCCTTATGGGCATGAGAGGTTCCAGGACCATGGCTGGCACTGCACGGCCTCCACCCTCCTGCCCGGGGCCACTCCACTGTGTGCCTGCCCGCCCTGCTGCAGTCCCGACCCCAGCCCTGCACCCCACCCCTACCCCCCTGAGGCTCTTTCTGGCCCTCCTTCCCACCCCGCCAGTCCCATGCCCCGCCCTGCCCCCCTGATGTTCTTTCTGTCCCTCCTTCCCACCCCACCAGCCCCGTGCCCTGCCCCACTTACCTTCACACCCACGAGGTTGTTGTGGAAGTCCACACGGGCTCGCAGATCCTTGCTTGACCGTCTGCCCAGGAACTCCTTGACGAACTTGCTGCTGTACTTGAGGTTGTCTCCGCAGCCCCCCCACTGCCAGGCCTCACGGTTCTCCAGGTCGGGCGCCTCATCGCAGGTACAGCGCTCCATGCGGCCCGCGCTGCATGCCTTGGCCAGTGCGTGCGTCAGGCCAGCCGAGGAGATGGCATAGAGGAAGGCAGTCTCCTTGAAGCCTGGGATTGGCAAGGGCTGGTCAGTGAGCCCAGGCTGCCCAGAGTTCCCCCTTCACTGTCCTGCAGTCAAACCACCCCAAGAGTATGAATCCCATGTGGGGGCCCAGAGCATCTTTACTGGTGCTGCACTCGGGACAGGGTGTGGGTGTGCCCTGGGCACCACAGGGTAGGAAGCGCCCAGGTGTCCCCCAGGTGCAGAGCTGGCTGGGAGGAGAAACCAGAGCCCACCATGGCCACGGCTCCTGCTCTGTGGTCACAGTCTCCATTAGGGTCTCAAACTTCCCAGCCTCACCATGGGGCCATTGGAAAGTCCTGCCTGCCCTAGGCCTTGGGTCCCCAATTTTTACACAAGCTAGTGCAGTACGGTGGCACACGGCTGCAGCCCCAGCTACTCCAGAAGCTGAAGTGAGAGGGTTGCTGAAATAGGCGGTGGAGAGCCCCTGGGAGGGCGCAGGAGGAGGCCGAGGTGGGAGGGTGGCTGAAATAAGGTGGTGGAGAGCCCTCATGAGGGTGGGAGGGCAGGAGGAGAGTCTGCACAGGCAGAGCCCCCTGGGCACTGGGCCATCTGGCAGGAGCCGAGGGCTGTCGGGGCAGCACCGGGCAGCCTAGGGCCCCGTCAAAGGCGGAGTCAGCACACCCTGGCCACCAGCAACGACTGTGCCTGTGCCAAAAGCAGGGCAGGGCAGGCAGCACTCAGGGAGGTCCAGGGGCTGCCCTTTCCAGGGCCTAGGCCCAGGAGCTCTGGGCAGGCTGGGCCCAGTGTCCCCAGGAGTGTAGCCTGAGAGGGGCCTCTTGGGACATGGACCAGGCCTGGGCTGCTGCCTCTGCCTGGGGCCTTCCTGAGGGCCAGGCCGGCCACACTCACCTCGCTTGAGCAGGCTGGCCCGGTAGCGGCCCTCCAGCGTGCAGTTCCAGCGCTCAAAGCGGAATTGGAACTGGCACTCAAGCGCACTCATGCTCACGGCCTCCACCAGCGTCTCTGCCACACCCGGGTCCCGGCGGCACATGCGCCGCTGCTTCCGCTCCAGCTTCAGCCGGTCGCAGGCCTTGTAGTGCGCCTGGGCGGCCGCCTCAGGCTCCAGGGTCAGCGGGAGGACGGTCAGGGGCTCGCTGCCCGTCAGCCTGGGCACAGAGAGGCCAGTGTGAGCCCAGCGCCAGGAAGCCCTGCTGGAGCCTGGCCAGGTGTCTCGGTGGCCAGGGGACAGGGGACAGGCATGTCCATCCGGGGGTGAGAGGGGCAGAAAGAATCCAGGATGAGCAGGCAGGGGAGGGGGAGGTGAGAAGGGCCTTGGCCCCCTGCACATCCATGGCCCCCACTCCAGCGAGCATGGTCGCAGCAACCACAGGGCTGTCTCTGCTGCCAACTCAACTCCCACAGTTTCAGGGAGTCTAGCTGACTCTAGCTATACTGGACAGACAAGACCACCACAACACACACAACATACGAAAGAGGACAGCCCCGCCTAGTGCTGTGGGCATGGAGGAGGCTCCGGAGCCTGAACCCCAAGCTATGCCTGATGGCATCTGCCACACCCTCCACCCTCTTCGGCCCCAGCTGACCTGCAGGACACTGCCTGAGGTCCCCCTACCCTCTGCCATGACCTGCTGGGATGTCTACGGTCCTGTGGCCCCCTGCAGCTTCCCAGCACTCCTGCAGTCTATGCATATGTCCCCAGGTTCTGGTTGGGGTCTCCCCACCTCAATGCCTGGGTGTGGCACTGGGAAGTGGCTCTTGGTTCTCTGTCACTCTACCCCTCTCACCTCACCAAGCCTGGACATCCTCCTTTGCAGGACAGACCCCAGCTAACCCCTCCCCATAGGTCACCCCTGGGGGCCTCTGAGCTGACACACACCATCCTCCATCTTTACACGAGGCCTTGCACCAGCCCCCAGCACTGAGGATGCATCCCCAACCTCAACTGCTCCAGGAACCCGGCTCCACCCTATTGGATGCCCCCTCCCCACAGCCCGCTGCTGGCTCACCTGCTGCTGCTGCTGCTGCTGCTGCTGCTGCTGGACTCACTTCACAGGGCTTCCCTCACACCCCGCCCTGGCCCAGCCCAGCCCACATCGAGCCAAGGCCTTTCGGTCCTCAACCTCAAACCCTGACCCCCCCCATGTCACCTGTCTATCCTGGGACTGACCGAGCATGCTCTGCAGCTGTGTCAGACCTGCCAGCCCAGTGTCCCCACATGGGTGGACCGTCAGGGACCCCAGGCACCGCCACCTCAAGCCAGACTCAGCCCCACAGCCCTTGGGAGGGCACCTGCCTGGACAGGGCCAGGGCTTGGAGGCCCCTCCCGAGAGCACCACTGGACACATGCTGCCCAACTCACCCCTAGCAGACCTCAGTAGGGAACAGTAGACTCAGTACGTTCTGGGAGCTACCGGGGTGCCAGCTTGGGAAGGCTCCACACCCTCGCACGGCCCTGCTAGACCCCACCACCCACCCAGAGGGAGTAGCTCCTGCCCAGGGGTGTGGAGGGGAGGGGCCCAAGAGGCTCCCTAGCACATCCCATCAAAGGCAAGGCCACACAGGTGACCCCTAGGCTACTGAAGGGCACCTGCCTCCAGGGCCACAGGCACAGGCCACAGAGGGAGCAGGTAGAGGCCCCAGGAAGGAGGCCCACAGCCCCTCCACAGGAGCCAGCCGCCTGGTGGGCGTGCTGAGATACCCTGCCCGGCCAAGCTGATGTCCTGCTCCCTAAGCTGGGGTCTGCTCCTCCAGGATGCGCAGAGCCAGCCCGAGCCCCCGTGAGTTGAGCCAGAGTTGCAGGCAGTAGGACCTGCAACAGCCCCCCCACCAGTCAGTGAGCCACCAAGGGGCGCCACGGGGGGTCTTCACTTGGGGAGGCCATGCCCGGGATTCAAGACACACACCCATGTGCCAGGCTGCCAGGGAGTGGGTAGAGGAGGACCCCAAGGGCCCTTCTAGCAAATCCCCAAGGTCCCCGAGGCACAGGTCCCGTGCAGCACAACAGGCCCCACAGGGAGGACAGGAGGGACCAGTCAGTCCTCCAAACCTGGACACTGCTGTGGACTGAGGCTGGGAGAGGCCTGGGTGAGGGAAGGAAGTGCAGTGTACACAGGTCCCCTCAGACGCCCTAGGGGCCAGGACAGGAGCACGGGGTGGCACTGTGGGCATCCATGCACAGATACCTCCAAGCCCCAGGGCCAGAGATGGGATGTCCCAGGACAGCTGGACACACAGAGCAGGACTAGGGCGGGGGGCAGGCTGGGGAGCAGGGCCAGGAAAGCCACACCTCACACACAAGGGCAGCTTGCAGGTGGAGACCTCCATCCCTAGATGGAACGACACAGCTGTGACCAGAACAGCCCTCAGGAGGACAACAGCCTTCCACCTGTGCCTCCCCGCAGGCCTGGACCCGTCAGGACCCAAGAGCCCCAAGCCACTGTCCCAGAAAACCCCTACAGCCAGGTCAGCATGGACCCTCCACAAGCTGCAAAACCCAACTGTGGGTGTGGACAGGGGACAGGGAAAGGGGAGAGGGAGGGCACTAAGAAGAGGTGGGGGAGGGGAAAAGCGGAGGGGAGGTGAAGGAGGGGAGGAGGGTAGTGGATGAAGACAGGAGGGTGAAGGGAAGAGGGCAGGGGAGGAGGGGGAGGGGGCCCCATCTACCAGAGCCACCCCTCCCTCCCTGTCAATGGTGACTGAGGATATCAGTCTGCCCTGCCCCCTCCCTGTGGCCCACCACCTGGCCCACACTGGTCATGCTGGGGCACTGACAGCTGGTTTGACAGTGACAAGCTGAGTCCTCCAGCCTTTCCTAGGGCACTCCTGGAGCAGGCAGACAGCAGGGCAGCAAGTGTGGCTGCACCTGGAGACTCGCTGGGCAGCCCCAGGACACCCCTCTATCAGAGGCAACTCCCTAAATGCAGCTGCAGGTAACTGACCCTGATCCAAGGACAGGCAGGGTGGGCCATCAGCACTGGCAGAAGGGTGTGGAGGGAGGGTGGCCCCAGCCCAGGAGTGGCAAGGGATGGCCTGAGGCCCAAGGGCTACGCCCTTCCCTGGAGTCGTCACTGAATTCTGTGCTGCTCTGGCCATGGACTTCTTAAGCTCCTGCCCCCTCACCTCTCCCACCCTTGGTAACCCCTGCCCCATGCCTCCTTCATTGTCAGGCTGGGCTCCACATGCAGCCAACTGAAGGGATTCACAGCACCAGGGGATAAAGATCTGACGATAAACAGGCAGACCACAGGCACCACAGGGCATGCTGGGGAACGGGGCAGGCGATCTCAGGGCCTGGGCCCAGCAGAGGAGGCCCAGACCCTCCTGACAGGCAGGGCTCTCTGTCTGCCACACGACAGAGCCACAGAAGGGCTGAAGAAGGGAGGAGTGGTTCCCAACACAACCTCAGAACAGAGAAGCTTTCTTCTGTGAGACTCAGAACCCAGAAGTCACCGAAAAGTGAATATATTTGACTACTTAAAAGTATAAAAATCTCTGCATAGCAAAAAACAAAAAAGAGGCAGCACAGAGTCCAGAGACCAAGAGACAAATTACATCTGGGGCAAATGCCTGCAACTCACACCCCAGACCAGGGGCCAGCGCTGTACACGTATGTGTGTCTGGATGCATATCTCTTCCTATAAACCAATAACAAAGGAACCGACTGAAGACAGACAAAGGGTATAAACCCACAGGCCAAGGGAAGGAAACCAACTGGCTCTTCAAACCCATGAGCCAACACTCAGCCCCACTCCAAGACATTCTCTGCCTGCTGTCTCAGCTGCTCCAGAGACCATGACAGGAGAGTTGTTTGAGCCCAAGAACTGGAGACCAGCCCAGGCAATATAGCAAGACCCCATCTCAAGAAATAAAACTATATTGATACATTAAGCTTCGTTAATTAATAAGCACAAATCAAATGTCCGATGAGAATATTGTCAAGGACACGGGGAGACACTCTTCCATGGCTGGAATTCCAGACTGACATATCTAGGAAACTTTAAAAATAAACCACTGCAGTGGTCTGAATATTTGTGTCTTCTCCAAATTCATATGGTCAAACCTAACACCATCAAAGTGGTAGCATTAGGAGATGGGACCTCTGGAAAGTGATTAGGTGATGAACAGGATTAGTGTCCTTATGGACCCCAGGCTGGGTGCAGTGGTTCATGCATGTAAACCCAGTACTTTGGGAGGCCAAGACGGGAGGATCATTTGAGGTCAGGAGCTCGAGAGCAGCCTGGGCAACATAGTGAGACCTGGTCTCTATAAAATATTCAAAAATTAGCCAGGCGCAGTGGTGCATGCCTGTGGTCCCAACTACTCAGGAGGCTGCGGCGGGGGGAACACTTGAGCCTGGGAGGTCAAGGCTGCAGTGAGCTGTGGTTAAAATAATAATAAAATAAAATATAAATAAATAAAAGGGACCCTGGAGAGACCCTTGCCTCTTCTGCCATGTGAGGACATGGTGAGAAGGCACTGTCTATGAAACAGGAAGTGCCCTCACCAGACACAGAATCTGCCACACCTTGAACTTGGCCTTCCAGCCTCCAGAGCTGTGAGCAGCATACTTCTGTGTTTTACAAGCTCCCAGGCTGTGGTGTTTTGCCGTAGCAGCCTGCGTAAACTAAGATACCCTACAATTACAGACATAATCACATCTTTCTGGAAGCATAGACTGCACATGCATTGTACCTTCCTGGCATGCCATTCAACATAGCCTTGTTATAGGAACGTGCTGGAGACAGCAGGAGAGCAGCTGGGAACGTCAGATCCACACGCTCCGTGGCGTGTCACATGGTCCGTGAGCAGCCAGCCGTCCCATGTGAATCCATGCCAAGTCACGCCCCACGTGTGCTCAGTGGACAAGCAGAGCCCAGCAGTGGGTGGATAAGCTCAGCAAGGACTGCATGTGCGTGCGCGTGTTTGTGGCTGCACCGGACCAAGCAAAGATCCAAAGATGGAGGAAGCGTGTTCTTCCCCACAGAGCTGTGAGTTGTGCCGGCACACAGATGGCCTTTCCAGAATCCATAGAACTCGCTCCACACTCAGCAAATGGCACAGGCCCGGGAGGTGGGGGCTGCAGTGAGCCACAGACACACCACCACACACCAGCCTGGGTGACAGAGTGAGACCATCTAAAAACAAACTAACAAAAAAACCAGCCTGCATCACCCTGGTTTATATAAAGGTGGCAGCAGCTATCCTGGTCTTGTTCTTCATCTTCAGAGGAATGCCTTTAACATTTCAGCATGAAGCCTGACGCCCAAACACCGTTTCAGGCCACAGAGGCACCCTTTGGTTCTCAGTTTGCTAAGAACCTCTAAAAATCATAAATGGGGCCAGGCGCAGTGGCTCACGCCTGTAATCCCAGCGCTTTGGGAGGCTAAAGTGGGAGGATCACTTGAGGTCATTAGTTTGAGACCAGCCTGGCCAACATGGTGAAACCCTGCCTCTACTAAAAATACAAAAATTAGCTGGGCATGGAGGTGCATGCCTGTAATCCCAGCTACTCAGGAGGCTGAGGCAGAAGAATTGCTTGAACCCGGGAGGCAAAGGCTGCAGTGCGCCGAGATCACGCCACTGCACTCTAGCCTGGGCGACAAGAGTGAGACTTCGTCTCAAAAAATAATAATAATAATAAATAAATAAATATCGAATGTTATCAAATGTCATCCTTACATCTTTTGAGGTATGACTTTTCTCTCTCCTTCCTTCCTTCCTTCCATCCTTCCTTCCTTCCTTCATTTTTTTAGAGGAAGAGTGTCACACTGCCACTGAAGCTGGAGTGGGGTGGCACAATGACAGCTCATTGCAGCCTCACTGTTGCAGTGAGCTACAGAAACTGACCAATGTTCTGTGGAAGTTTGTCTTCCTGGACTCAACCTGGCCAGGATGGGCTCCATTCTTTTCTATGGGGCTGGATGTCTTCTGATAGTGTCTTCCTAGGATTTTCACATCTGCGTTTGTGATTTTCTTCTCTCTAGCTCTTCCCACTGAGTTTCAGTGCCTGCCTATGTGAGGGGTCTTCTGTTCAACTTTCCTAGAAGAGTTTGTATCAGATTAGAATTGTGTCTTCTTAACTGTTTGTTCTGAAGAACTGGCCATGAAGCCATCTAAGGACTGAGCTATTCTTGGCAAAAAGATTTCTTTTCTGATCCAGTTTCTTTTTTCCTTTCTTTCTGAACAGCTTTACTGAGACATACAGGCATACCTTGGAGATGTTGTAGCTTTGGTTCCAGACCATTGCAATAAAGAGAAGGTCAGAATAAAGCAAATCACGAGTTTTTTGGTTTCCTAGTGCTTCTACAAGGTATGCTTACACTATAGTCTATTAAGTGAGCAACAGCATTATGTCTTAAAAATAATACATATGCTTTAGTTAAAAACACTGGACTGCTGAAAAAGGCTAACAATCATCTAAGCTTCATTGAGTTGTCATCTTTTCACTGGGGGAGGGTCTTGCCTCCATGCTGGTAGCTGCTGACTGATTAGCATGGTGGCTGCTGAAGTTTGGGGTGGTTGTGGAAATCTTTTTTTTTTTTTTTTTATCTTTAGTAGAGACGGGGTTTCACCATGTTGGCCAGGCTGGTCTGGAACTCCTGACCTCTTGACCCACCTGCCTTGGCCTCCCGAAGTGCTGGGATTACAGGCATGAGCCATCACGCCCAGTCAGAAATTTCTTAAAGCAAGACAACTATGAAGTTTGCCACATCAATGGACTCTCCCTTTCATGAAAGACTTCTCTGTAGCAGGTGATGCTGCTTGATAGCGTTTTACCCACAGTGGAACTGCTTTCACAATTAGAGTCACTCTTGTCAAACCCTGCCACTGCTTTATCAACTAAATTGATGTCAATTTTAAATCCTTTGTTGTCATTTCAACAATGTACACAGCATCTTCACCAGGAGTAGATTCCATCTCAAGAAACCACTTTGTTTGTTCATCCATAAGAAGCAACTCATCATCCATTCACATTTTCTCATGAGACTACAGCAATTCAGTCCCATCTCCAGGCTCCACTGCCAATTCTCGTTCTCTTGCTGTTTCTACCACATCTGCAGTGACTTCCTCCCCTGAAGTCTGGGATCCCTCAGAGTCATCCATGAGGGCTGGAATCAACATCTTCCAAACTCCTGTTCATACTGCTGTTTTGACCTCCCATGAATCATGAATTAAGGCATCTAGAATGGTGAATCCTTTCCAGCAGGTTTTCAATAGACTTTTCCCAGATCCATCAGAGGAATCACTGTCTGTGGCAGCTGTAGCCTTATGAAATGTCTTGAATAATAAGATTTGAAAGTTGAAATGACTCCTTCATCTGTGAGCTGGAGAATTAATGCACGTTGTGTTAGCAGGCATGGAAACAACATATATCTCCTGGCACATCTCCACCAGAGCTCTTGGGTGAACAGGACACTGCCAATGAGCAATAATACTTCGCAGGAATCTTTTTTTCTGAGCAGTGGGTCTCCACAGTGAGCCTAAAATATTTAGTAAACCAGGCTGGGAACAAATGTGCTGTCATCGAGGCTTTGTTATTCCATTTCTACAGCACAGGCAGAGTAGATTTGGCATAATTCTTAACAG